AACTATTTATATTATGTATGTTAAAAAAATAATTTATAAAATAAATAAATAAAATTTAAAAAAGTAAGACCCAATTTAAAAATACAAACAACTATTTTAATAAGATTATTTTAAATTTATACTAAAATATTGGTAATTTTTTTTACCAAATTAGTCAATAGATATAATTTTAAGTCCATGGGCCATTAGCGAAAAAATGTACGAGTTTGCCCAGGGTCAATGGTATAGAGATGATTTTAGTTTGGTAATGGTGACGGGTCAATATAAAAAACAAACAGATCTCAGCTCAATAATGATGGCGTTTACCATTAGAATATGGCTACTAATAGGACTGTCCATAATTATAGTATCCACTACACTGTTTATTCAATATCGATTTGCTGGCAATAAATTTACCATGTTAGATTGGCTAATAAATATTGCACGTTACCTAGTTAATCAACCATACACTGGCCATCAAATACGTAGGGATCAGCTATTATTGATTTGGTCGGCACTGGCACTCGTACTGTCCAATTGTTTTACCAAAGATATTATCAATAGTATTATGAATGTCGAGATTATCGAAATCGATAGCACAGAACAATTGGTTAAAAGCAAAATGCAATTACTATTACCAAATGATTCGTGGATTTATTTCGATATAATTGATATGCAAAAAAATCAAGATTATCCCATGATCAATTCAGATATGCAAATAATGTATGAACAAGGTAGAATACAATATGGACAAATATTGGATAAAATAGTAAATAGTTTTTTGTTGTTGTATATATTACGCAAGTATATTATTTTAAAAATATTAATTTTATTTAATAATTTTATTTTAATAAAATTATTTTTTTTTTTAAATTTATGTAAAACAGGATTATGTAAAAAACATTTCTGACTATAAAATGGTATTTGTTAGGGACGGATATAATGCTTTGGACGCTAAACTTAAGTTTAAGTTATTTAATCTTGAATTGAGTGAAAAAAAATATCATCCAATTTATTTGTCATATCTTATTAGTACTAAAAAAACAGAGACTGTAACCAAATTGCTTAAAATGTAATTATTTATAATTTATTTTCTTTATAATAATAATAATAATAACAATTTTACATTAATTTGTTAATATATTGGTATAAAGTTTAAACTATTTAGTTGAAGCCGGTATTAATAATGAGGCCTACGATAGAAACGTTATGTATTGGGAACTGGATGGTCATCGGAGGTTCCTCGAGCACAGTAACGATCCGACATTAGCTAAATATTTGAAAAAATATCAAATATTCAACAGTTATAGCGACATATTTATTGACCAGAGATTTGTCTACAATTTGTTGGTTGTGTTGGGTATTGTAACGGCAACTGCTATACTAGTATTACTAACTGAGCTATGCTTTAATATAAGAAAGAATAATAACTAATAATAATAATACAAAAAGTAATAATAATATTAATAACAAAAATATGGTATTTATTAAAAAAATTATTAGACTAGAATTAGTGTAAAAATTTTATTCTAACATTACTGTAGATACAATAAATGATTGTAAAATTTATATTTTTAAATATTTAGTTACATAATAATAAAATAAATATTTATTTACTAAATTAATAATTTATAATATTATACACTAACATAATATTATTTTTGTAAAATATAAAGATATTTTAGTTTTGAAAATAAAATTATTATTATTGCTATTATTGTTTATTTAATATGCAGTATTGCAGTATATTGAGTTATTTTTTAAAATTTTTATTAGTATTAACTCTATTATTATAAATAACTAACATTTCATATCAAATAAAAATTAAGTTATCATCATATTATATTATCAATACTATTGACTAAAATTTCGTACAAATAATGATTATATTTTTGTATACTAAAGTATTAACAACTTAATAATAAAAAAATTAATATGATTGATTAATGTTTTATATCATAAAAATCGTTATGTATTGAATATTGCTTTATAAATTAGTACGATTAATATTGATTACTAGTAAACCTATGAAATTATATGCAAAAATAGACAAATTTAATGACAATATACTGTACTTTACTGATTTAATGTTTATGCGGTCAAAACAATTAAAATATTATTTTAATATTTATTATTATTCAAACATATGCATCAATTTCCATACAGACAATGATCTCTCAAATAAAATTATTTTACGCTATATTTAGATAATTAAAGTATAGATAAACTTTTAATTAATTAATATTTTCTAATACAAATGAGGCAAATGTTCATTTAATATTTTTATATTTTTAATAGTTATAAAAATTGCACTTAATATGATGATTAACAAATAATTAAAATGCAAATGTTAATTATTTATATATATATATATATATATATATATATATAATAGAAAATTTGAATGAAATAATAGTTTTATTTTCTTATAAATACTGCTTTAAAAATATCAAATGTTAAACACAAAACTTTATTTTAATTTTTAATTATACACTTAATATGTCAATCAAACATGTATTAGGTCGGTGCTTGAGTATACCGGCCAACAAAATACATAATATTAATTATAGTAATAAATCAAATTTAACGTTATATGTTTTAAAATTATGGCCAGTAAGTTTTTATTAACTTTAAAACAAATAATGTATAATATTATATGATTTTAGATGATTTTTTTTTACTTAGGGAAGCGATTGTTTTTATGACAGTACTGTACTGACGGCTATATTCAACAAATTTAATACAACATTTCAATGGATAGCTCATGGATTGGACTTTGAGGGACATATGAATAAACATACGGTAAAAAATACATATTAAATATTAAAAAAATAAAATATTAATTTATCAACAAAAAAATTATTAGAATAAAAATGATGAATATATTTAATAATTTAAAAAAAATACACAAACTATACAATTATTATTTTTGTTGTATAGTATATAGACGTTATATTGAGTCCATGGGCACTGGTAGAAGAGTTGTACCGTTTTGGTCAGGGTCAATGGTATCGGGATGATTATAGTCTAGTTATATTGAGTGGTCAATACAAAGTACGTATTGATTTATACTCAGTATTTCAGGCATTTCACTCGACAACATGGTATCTAATCGCTATGTCCATTATGACAATGACATTGGCAATCTGGTTACGTTTGAAACTATCATTATCTAGTCGTATAACATCATCATCATCACCATCATCAGCTAGCTTAGTAGTTACATTATTATTAAAAATTGCCCTGCACCTAATTCATCCTAGTATATATTATGGTAGTTTACTAAATGGAAATATACTAGTATTAACATGGGCATTTATGACAATGATATTAACAATGTATTTTACTAAAGATTTTATTAACAATATTATGTCAAGTAATATTGTCAGCATTAATAACCTTGATGAATTAATTGAATCAAGTAATATGCGAGCTATGATAACTTTTGATTCGTGGATCTATTGGGACATGGTCAGATATAATAGAGGGTCTATTAGTCATATGGTTAATCCATATATGCAATACATGTTTGACCATGGTCGATTGGAGTATGGACAGTTAACTGATAATATTGTAATATTGTTAAATTTTTCTTAGTTAATTAATTACATAATAATAATCTATATTTAATTGTTATCTAGGATAATTTGCACCGAGTATCCGACTCAAAAATGGTATTTATCAGGGACGGTATCAATATTATGGATGCTAAAATGAGCAATCAATTATATAATTATAAAATTGCCAATGAAAAATATCATCCTATTTATTTGACCTATGTAGTTAGCAAAAAGCGTAATGCCAACATTGACAAGCTAATTAAAATGTAAGCTAATTTAATTGTTAAAAAATAAAATATTAAAGTTAATAATTTTTATAAATAATAATTTATCTAGTTTAAAATTGCTTGTCGAAGCTGGTATAAATAATGAGGCATTCGATCGTATAGAATTGTGTTGGCAATTGGAGGGCAACTTGAAATTGGAGCTAGATAAATTAAATCAAAATAATAGTAAATTTACAAAAATTTATGACTCGTTTGACAGTTACGATGATATCTATATTGACGCCAAATTCATATACGATTTGCTGGTTGTCTTAGCATTTGTTACACTAATAACAATAGTTGTACTTTTAGTTGAATTAAAATGGACATATTTAGCTAGGTTATTTACAGTGGTTAGTAGAAAAAAGTAGTAGAAAATACTGTTATTTGATTAGAGTAATAGTAAGTAGAAACTAAAAATAAATTATTTATTATTATTTTTGTAAAGTTTATAAAACATTGTGATTAAAAAAAATATTTATATTAGTTTTTTTTGCTTAATAAAATAGCTGTAATAAAAATGTAAATTACTAAACAAGTAAAATTTTATTTTATAATTTTTTTATCAATCGGTATAAACTTAAATTGTTTTTTTGTTTTATTATCAAAAAAATGTCATTTTGATATAATAATCATTGTTAAAATTAGTCTATGTTAATCCATAAAAATGTATTAAAACAACAAAGTTCAATGTCAATTAATGTATTTTCTCCAATCAATATTTATCACGATATCTATATATATTAGACTTAATTTTATATAGGTTGTTTACCAAATAAAATACAATTGCTATGTCTATTATGTCAAAAAATTGATTGTTAATATTGATATGTCAACATTAAATTTTATAATCTAATAAAAAATAATCAATCAATAAATGTCATTTATAATAGCAATCATATTTTTATAATGATATTAGATAAATGTGAAATATTTTTAATGTACTAACAGTAATAACTGGAAAAAAATTAATAATATCTTTGGATTAATAATCCAGGTTATAGTGTAAACTAATTGATTAAACTAAATAATAAAGTATTCAAAAAAAAAATTATCACTAAACTGTACATATATAAGGAAGGGTTAGATTTAGGTTAGTATTAATAATTTAGATTTATTTTATTTTTTAGAGTATAAATTTTTATGATTCATATACTGTATATATAAAAAATTATGAAAAATACAATTATTTTTATTAATATTTTATTATTAGTAGGGTTGGCAACCAGTGCCGACCCTACAATCGATGTGAATACCACATCGGGTGTCGTTCGCGGAACGACCATCAAAATGCTGGACAAACCTATTGACCAGTTTATGGGCATACCGTTTGCCGAACCACCAGTCGGCCAGCTTCGATTTTCCAAACCGGTGGCCATCCGAGAACCATCAAAAGTAATGTAAAACTTAAAAACTAAAACATATATTTAACCTACCGTTCCTCTCATAGAAAATTATCGATGCTACTATTGTTAAAAACTCATGTCTGCAAAATGATGGCACACATATACTGCTAGTCAACGAGGACTGTCTATTTTTGAACATTTGGGCACCAAATCAGGCATCAAATGACTCAGTGGCAAACAAACCGTTGAAAAAAGTAATGTTTTGGATATACGGCGGTTCGCTGACCAGTGGCTCAATATTTTTGCCCGTATACTATGGCGAAGCGTTGGCCGCTCACGATGTAGTGGTGGTGACCACCAACTATAGGCTGGGCGCTTTCGGTTTCCTATACGGTGGCGACGGATCGGCACCGGGCGATGTCGGCTTTCACGACCAGCTAATGGCTTTGCAGTGGACTCGGGACAACATCGAACGATTCGGAGGCGATCCCAATGAGATCACCATTTTTGGTGAATCGGCCGGCAGTTGGTCAGTATCGGCACACGTACTGTCGCCACTGTCTAAGGGTCTTTTCAAGAGAGCTATACTGGAATCGGGTGCCATATTTATGGACAAAGACGAAGAAGTATTGAGCAAAGATAAGGCACTCAAAGAGGCCAAACTGATGGCCAGCAAATTGAACTGTACGGACGATAAACAGTGGTTACAATGTCTGAGGAAAGTCGATGCACAGGCAATACTCATGTATTCATCGTTGGATATCTTTCCGATGTATGGCACCGAATATTTGCCTATCAGTGCCCAACAGGCATTCAAAACTGGCAATTATAACACAGGTATGCTATTAGTAGTGTAAATACTGTATACATATATAAATATCATTCAATTTACATTAGAAATCGATATAATGGCCGGTGTTATGCACGACGAGGGCTCACTACTGGCCCATCATTTGTACCCACAATCGGACAAATTGCGTAATCAACAAGACTTTTCAGATATGATTAAACAGGTGACACTCATACCTGGACTGGACCCGAAAAAATTGACCAGTTTTTATTTGGCTGGTGTCGACACCAATGTTACCGGTGCCGTTACCCATGCATTTTGGCAACTTTTCGGCGATCACGTTATCACTTGTCCGACCTATTTGTTTGCCAAACAGTTTGCTCAGCACACACCTAAACGAAACGTTATGTTCTATCAGTGGACCTACTATTCAGAAAGTTATAGTTCACTGTTTGGCTGCACAAAGGAAATGGGTGTCTGTCATGCAATGGACATACCGTTTGTTTTTGGACTGCCAGTCATCATGCATGGCGAGGAACAGGCATTCAGCGAACAGGTGATGAAAATGTGGACCAATTTTGCTAAAAATGGGTATTTATTAAAATAATAATTTTTTATATTTTGTATAATTTCTTTTAATTCTATACCAATTTGTTTATCTGTATAGTAATCCTATGGAAGGCACGGGTCATCAGTGGCCCCGACTTATCCAGACTACCGGTGCTGCCGATGGTGTGGATCCGGTGTCCAAAATCAAAGAAATTAATCCAACAAAAGATGATCACATTATTGAAAATCTTTTTGCCAAAACATGTGATGGGTTTTTGCGATCATATTTTTTGAATGAATAACAATTACTAGTATACTATTGATAACTAAAAAATAAAATAAATCTTAATTATATGTACAAAATAAAAACAATATTAATTAATTACTAGATAACTATTAAATAAAAATTAATTTCATATCAAAATAAATATATTATAAAATAATATATTAATATCTTTATAAAACATTATAAAATAGTAAACAAATAAGCTCAAATTACATTAGGTTATGTTAATATTATATAATTTATTTAGATTATCTGTTAGTATAAAAAAAAGATTAAAAATATTTTTATATGTGTTTATATAACATTATATCTATATTAATATCTAAACTTAATTAATGGTAGAGTACTAATTATGTATGAACTTTCGGTACTTTAATTGTTTATATATGTAAGACATGTGAAAAATATTTAATCTAAATAATAAATAGTTATATGTTTTTACTTAAAAAACATTCTCATATAAAATATATTTGTTTATATATGTTGTCCACTATTAGAGACAACTGGCATTAATTACAGTTTCCTTCATTCTAAGACATATTTACTTTACTTATAAAACCCTATATATCACAGAATATAATGTCAAATAAAAAGCACTTCCCGCGCGCTAATTGAAGCCAAATTTGATTTCAGAGTAAAGTAACTAATAATAAATCATAATTAATTGGTACCAACTTTGCACGGTCAATACCTTCCAAGATATTACAGATAATGTTTAGGCCTTCCACTGTTGCATCAATACTTAGTTCTCCAATGGAGTACTAATGCAACAACAAATCTGACTTTTGATTGGTAACTACCAAAGCAATACGCCTCAACTTAATTGAGTATAAAACTTATTGTCCATGAGATCACTGGATCAGATACTTGATTCAATATAGTGATCACCTCATTGACACCACTATTACTATATTTCAATACTTTATAAACTTATTGTTTTAATATTATTATATTATAATCAATGTATTTAATCAAATTGTTTTAATATTTCAATAAAATATAAACTTATTTTAATCAACTAAATTGTGTCACAAATTATCACCATTATCATCACCAACCATTGGACTAGTGGTTAATATACGACTGCATCAAAACTATTATATAATAATTATAACTTTGTAAAACTGCTAGTCTTACATATAATAATAATAATTTCTATAATAAATATAATTATAATAACGCTGTTTATATTGCATTAATCTTAATAATTAAAAAACATTTATTTTTAATGGAAATTGGATACATAAGCAATTAGCAATGTATACTAATAAAAGTAATTTGATTTATGTTATTATTATTATTTAAACATACCTGTACATATAATCATTATATTCAAATATTATAGTTATTATAAATATTTTTATAGTAAAATATACAAATAAATGACTAAAATAATGTTTTAGTCAATAAATGAATAATTATTATTGACAGAAATATTTAAAATTGACAATTTTGATAAATGAATTTAAACAAATTTATATAAATAAATATATACTTTATTTATAATGATTTATTATTGTAAAACTAAAACGTTATATATTTTAAAAATATACTAATATACAATTCATAATTATTTGTATGTATAAATAATAAAAAATTATAAAATATAATAACATTTATTAATAAAACTTTTAAATAAATTAAAATATTCTAATAACAATTGAGTGTTTATAAATAAAATATTAAATTAAATTTAATAAAATGATCAAAACTAATGAATTAATACCACTGTCATTGCGGGTGCCGTTAGCCGCACACCAGTTGTATAAAATTGGATTAATTATATCCAAACCAAACACTGGTATTACTAGACATCGGATCAATCATCCAATTGCATTGTGGGCTATATTTTGCTATTACCTAATAGTATATTCAATATTATTGATAAATAATGGCAAAAATGAGACAATTATTATACTAATGGGCGGTTTCGCACATTTATTTGGCCAGTCCTATGTTGTTAATATAATAATTTTGATCATGGTCATTTTCTGTATTAGCACTCAATTAATATACTATTACAACCATTTATGTGGTATTTCGCCGACATTTATGGCAGTATTTGATATGATGTCTGGTTTGCGGACACCTCTTAGTGTTGGTCTTACTAACAGTCAATCAGTTATTAAATTACTTAAACAAACAAAACTAATGTATAAATACACACATTTAATGCCATATTTTGGACTATCATTTGCAGCATTTTGTATAATTGCATTTTTATATTACTATCCAATTACTATATTTATATTTATATCATTTATAGTAAATATTATATTATTCAGTTTTGTATTTTATCATATTTATGCCTTAATATTTTGGCAATTATTTTATTTTTATCTATTGTGTTATTACTTGAAATTGCGTTTAAAATCATTAAATACGACAATCATTGATAGTAAATATAAATTGAATTCACGTAAAATATTGAATGAAATCAATAGACTTTTAATTGATATAAATGTATTTAACACAACCTATTGGTCAAAATGTTTGCTAAATATATGGTTTAATTTTGGCTCAATTGCAACCTTTATGTTATATGCAATAATATTTAATGATTTAATGTTTATAATTAAAATTTTTAGTATTTTAGCTTGTATATCATTTTTTACATTTTTTATGACCATAATATTTACTGCCTCATCAATTTATTTAAATATTAAAATATTATCTCAAAATTTATTAGGTTTTTATGTTAAAAATATGTAAAATTTTACAAATTTGTATTTTTTTATAACATAAAATATTTTATTTATCATTACTGAAAAAATATAAATAAACTAGTATAAAGTAATATACTGTATTTTATTAATAGTAATTACAGTACAAATATATTAATGCAAAAAAAACTTAATCTAAAATAACACTTAAATATGACCTTGATTAGTGTACTGTTTAGTACAAATGTACATATATTTCCTACAAACATATTATATATAAACAAATTAAGTATAAAATAATAGAAACAAAAGCAATACTATAATTTTTTGCAACTACTGTACCATAGATTTATAATAAATCACTAAATTTGTTATTATATTCAATAACTTTTTTTTAAATAATAAAATTTCAATGAGTTTACAAACAGTTATGGTTACCGGTGCTAATCGGGGTATAGGTCTCGAATTGGTCAGACAATTGTTAGCCGAACCGAATCCACCCCAACATCTGATTGCTACTACTAGAGCAAAGGCTAACAGAGCCGAGTTGGACGCGTTGGCCGTAAAGCACCCGAACCTACATGTAATAGATATGGAGAGCAAAGACTACAACAGTTTCACCGCATACACGCCTACAGGTGTTGTCGCACAAGTACAGCAAATAGTTGGCTCCAGTGGTTTGGATACACTGATCAACAACGCCGGTGTACTCATACCAAAACTGTTAGACACCGTCACTGCAAACGATATGATTGAAAACTTTGAGATCAATACTGTCTCACCATTGATGCTAACAAAAGCACTTTTACCACTATTAAAGGTATGTCATAAATATTAATCTACATATAAATTAATAAAAATAAAAATAATACTAAATTAATGTAGCAAATCTTTTAAAAACTTATAATTTTTTACTGTACTTATACTATAAATTTTTATTTAAATACAAAGATTTTATAAACTATCCAATTGTTTTGATTATTGTGCAAAAACTGACAATATTTTATAATAATTAGTTAAAATATTATTTTTATACATAACTGTATAATATATTAAAAAAATATTTTTATACTAATAAATACAGTATATTCAAAATTAATTGATAGATTGCATCCGTTCACCGGAAGACAGCAGTGGTAAACATATCGTCATCATTGGGATCAATAGAGTTGGCTAAACCCAGACCCAATGGCCAGTGGTTCAGTATATTCCCGTATCGGTGCAGTAAAGCCGCACTCAATATGATTAGCCAGTGTTTGTCTACTGACCTTAAACGTGATAATATATACGTAATTAGTATGAACCCGGGTCATCTTAAAACTGATCTGGGTGGACCCACTGCACAAATTGAAGTGGCCGATGGTGTCAATGGTATAATCAAACAAATCAAATTGATTGATGATAATAATAATGGTAAATTAGTTAATTATATTGGAGGAATATTGTCATGGTGATTGCTTGTATTAACCTATTTATAAGAATAAATTTTAAAAGTGTAATAAAAAATATAATAATTAATAATATTAAATCAATCATAATAGGTAAATATTGCCATGATAATTTATTGATTAAACAAGTAAATATATAACAATAGGTTTCATTAGTGTTATAAATTTAAATATTTTAAAAATTTATTATATAAGTATATTATTTATTTATGTAAAATCAGTGTTTTTAAAAATTTAAACATTTTATAAAATTTTTAACTAAAACATATAATAATACAAAAATATTAATGTAATATCGTTTTAATGAAATGAATAAATACGATCTTATTTAGTAATTTACAAACTTAGAAATACTTATCAAAAATTTTATTTTTATTAATAAATTTAATATAAAAAAAATATTTACATATATATAATTTTTTATTATTCAGTTTGTAAACATTTATAACAATATGTATCATTAGTGTAAGAAATTTTAATATTATAATTTATATGTAAATTTTGTTGTTATTGTAATTAATTATTGTTTTTTATATATTTTCATATATTTTTTTATATAACTATAGACTAAAATATATTATTATAATACAAGAATATTAATGTCATATATTATAAATTAATACGATATTGATTAGTAATTTACATTATTTTGTAATGATAATCAATATCATTAAAAATATAATTAAAAATCATGAATTAACGCATTAACCGCACAGCACCTGCACTTACATGGGCTGCACATGAAAAACAAAACTTATGACAGCTTAGCCGTTTCGGGTGGTGTTTTGAATTGATAGATGGCTTCGGCTCAGCGCAAGACAGCAGTGGTAAACATATCGTCATCAATTGGTTCAATAGAGTTGGCCAAACCTATACCCGATGATCAGTGGTTTAGTGTATACGCGTATCGGTGCAGTAAAGCAGCGCTTAATATGATTAGCCAATGTTTGTCTACTGATCTCAAACGTGATAACATATACGCAATTAGTATGAACCCGGGTCATCTGAAAACTGATCTGGGTGGACCCACTGCACAAATTGAAGTGTCCGATGGTGTCAATGGTGTGATCAAACAAATCAAATTGATTGATGATAATAGTAATGGTAAATTAGTTACCTATGCGGGAGGAGTATTGCCATGGTAATTTTAATGTATAGTAAAAATATTAATATTTAAAAATAATAAATAAAATATAATAGTTAACAAAATTTATATTTATTTATTAGTTATTTATCGGTAGATGTTGCTTTATATCATATAATTAAATAATTATCAATTTTAATTTATTCAATTAAGAAGTAATTTACTTTTTTCAATAACAAAAAATAAAGAATAATTTATTATTTAAAAATATGTTATTATTATTATTATTACTATAAACTCTGCAATAATATAATCTTTATATAGTGTATATATAAGTCAATACTATCTGAATCTTATTAAAATTATTGTATAATCTATTAAATAAATATGACCTTGATTAGTATATACTTAGTACTGATCAAAGTTTCAAACAAAACCAAACAATTTTGCTATAAAAGTGAAAATACACAATAAGTTCATAAAAATTTAACTACTATTCACATTTGATTCAATTTTTTAAATTTAAATTAAATATTAAATACATAATGAGTTTACAAACAGTTTTAGTTACCGGTGCTAACCGGGGAATCGGTCTCGAACTGGTCAGACAATTGTTGGCCGAACAGAATCCACCCAAACATTTGATTGCCACAACTAGACCGACGGCCAACAGTACTGAATTAGACACATTGGCTGCAAAGCACCAGAATCTTCATGTAATACATATGGAGGGCAAAGCCTACGACAGTTTTGCCGCATCGGGTGGTGTTTCCGATCAAATACGACAAATAGTTGGCTCCAGTGGTTTGGATACACTGATCAACAACGCTGGTATACTTATACCGAAAATGTTGGACACCATCACCGCCAACGATATGATTGAAAACTTTGAGATCAATACTGTTTCACCATTAATGCTAACAAAAGCACTTTTACCACAACTAAAAGTATGTCATAAATATATAACAATAATCAATAATTATTATAAACTTTTTAAATTTCATTACTTAATATAATAATATTTATTTAATAGATGGCTTCGGCTCAGCGCAAGACAGCAGTGGTAAACATATCGTCATCAATTGGTTCAATAGAGTTGGCCAAACCTAAACCCGATGGTCAGTGGCATAGTGTATACGCGTATCGGTGCAGTAAAGCAGCGCTTAATATGATTAGCCAATGTTTGTCTATTGATCTCAAACGTGATAACATATACGCAATTAGTATGAACCCGGGTCATCTGAAAACTGATCTGGGTGGACCCAATGCACAAATTGAAGTGGCCGATGGTGTCAATGGGATAATCAAAGAGATTAAACTAATTGATAATAATAGTAATGGTAGATTAGTTAATTATGCGGGAGGTATATTGCCATGGTGATTGTTTTTAATTTAGTTAATATAACCAAAAATTGTGTGCTTTGTGTAATAAAAATATACTAACCTAATGTAATATTTATACATAATTTTATTTTAATGTATTAATTACTATACCGTATTATATTATATTTATAAATAAATATCAAAAAATAAATAAATATTTATTAATTTTATTATTTTGTTAAAAATTGTTTTAACAATGTCTTTTTGGTACAAGGTCATTTAGAAATCAATATTTTATTATTACTTCAATTTGTTTGACTAACTTTTTTTAGAACAAACATTTTATAAACTTTATATTGAAAACTATACATTTAATATTAATGTAAATTTAATTTATACTAATATGCAAACTATATGGTAAACTATTAATTTCAATTATTATTAAAAGTTTTAAAATGTAAGAAAATTTATACGTATTTAATATAGAAAAAAGTGAATTAAAATAATTGTTACAGTTATGTAATTTATGTTATAATCAGGGTTGTTATATGGGTATGGGTTAGGGAGGGGTAATACATCCTACTCCCTGAGATTGTTTTTTTTATCAGTAGGAACTACCCCGTTATAGCACAATGCACTACCAAGGCTACAGCTCCTCCCCTTTTGCTAGGCAACCAATGGGAGAGCAGCAATGGCGGACAATAACAATGGCGGACAATAACAATGACGTAATAACAATGACGCAATAACAATGACGCAATAACAATGACGTAATAACAATGACGTAATAACAATGACGTAATAATTACGTCATAAACCGGTTTTTTATTTTATACATACCAGTTTTGCTTACCCTGGGGGTATTAGCAAGTTTCATCCCCTTCTAAGTCATAGTACCGGACAGAGAGAAAAGACCACCATTATACAGTGGTTCGGGAAAGATATTCTGGCATTATGCACCAGACTTAGAGAGAAAAGACCACCATTATACGCAATAATAACTTGGAGAGTTATACCTTTACACTTAAATTGTGACACTTATGTTTGTTTCTTGCTGTATATATAATTCTGCACTCCGGACATTGTTTAATATATTTACACAATTTATTCTTCTTGTGTCTGTCGTAGCAATCTTGTTTATTGAATATCCTGTTGCAATCAAAACAGGATATATTTATTAACTCTCCAGAACATTTATCATAGCACTGGGAACATTTAAATTTGCACTTGTGGTCGCAGAAATTGTGATAGGAGATCATACACTCTTCACAATATTATTGCTTCCCAAAGTAACCTCTTATATTCACAATGGCGTTGTAGTGCTCATTATAATGTTCGATGTAAACTTTTTTACTTTTATCTGGACCTTTAAACATGACATCTGTCCAATCGTCTGCATGAATTACTATAATTTGATGAAATGGAAAAAACCCTTGAATATGTTTCCATTCATCATGCCCCAATCTTGTGTTTAAATCCATACTACATTTCATCGCCAACTCATTCGCTCCATTATTCTGAGCCAAGTTCTTGTTTTTTCTTATATTCTCCCAAAGTTTTGCATTTAGATTGTTCTTGTTGTCCGTGTGATACTTGGATACGAATAAAGCTCTTAGGCCACAGCTGTTATCGTTATTTATTATGCGTACAACTGATCTCTTATTATGGCTTTGTTGTTCTATAGTTTTTGGATTTTTTTCAATTTTAGGTTTACCGCCACCATCTTGAGTCTTGCTTGTACTAATTGTTAAGTTGAAAAGTTTATCCAGGAAAAATGTCTTGAATGATTGAGCCACCATTTCCATCTTTTCATAAACCATATTAGTAGTGAAATTTTCCTTTCTTGTGTTAATGTATATAGGCGTTTTCATGTCGCGATGAGATAATATTAAAGTAATGACATCCTTAGCATCAGCATCAGGCATCATTTCTTCAATAATTTTATCCAACTGGGATACTAATTCGTGTCTAATTTCATATAAATTGGGATCTTCATTTAAATCGTGCTCAATAGTAAATGTAGTTGATCTTGCCAATTTCAGCTTATTGTAATACTTGGTTGAAATAGCAGAGTGTCTTATTAAATTCAACATTGGAAAAGGTTGCGGTTCAGACATGTTTGATAGACAATTCATTGTAAAATAATTACTATTATACTCTCGGTTTTTTAAATATACTATTACTGATAACGATCTAAAAATCAGTTTAGGGAAAACCCAGATTTCAAAGTATCTAAAATTGGAAAAACCCAGTTATTTCAAGGTCATTGACCTTAAAAACTGGAAAAACTCAGACAAACAGCAATTAAAAGTTCATTGACCCTAAAAACTGGAAAAACTCAGACAAATAGCAATTAAAAGATCATTGACCCTAAAAACTATAAAAACCCAGACAAACAGCAATTTCAAGGTCATTGAGCCTAAAATCTGGAGAAAAAAAACAGTTAAACAGGAATTTACATAATATAGTCTATAATAGAAAAACTTGAACACTAATAAAATTAAAATGGAATTAATAAGCTATAAAGAAAAGAAATATTATATATTCAGCACTATTGAAAAAGTTTTTAAATATAATGTTAAAAGTTTATTTTGTATAACTCAATTAAATTTTATATTAGATGAAGAATTTAATAAATATAGTGAAGAAGATATGTTTTGTTTAATATTAACTAATAAACTATATAACGTACCTTTTTATTATGCGCCAATGGAAATAATAAATTATAATTACGAAAACATACTTAATATGATTAATGAAAAACAACACGACTTTACATTTTCACAACCCAGGACTCATAAATCTTAATATGTACGTTAAATAGTATTATATATATATATATATATACTTTAGATATGTTAATACTTAACTAAAAAACACATTTTATAATACAAATTTGATTGAAAGTTACCCAATGGGTCATCCGAAACTGCCTAAATCGACAATTATTGCCTGTCACTTGTAACTATTAATTTATTATAAATATTAATAACCAAATAAGCCTAACCTATCCTAAACTAACATAAGTTAGCCTAAATTAGGCTAATTAGACTAAACTAGCCTAAATTATTAAAAATATCAATTAAACAGCAAATTTAATTAAAATAAACAAGAATTTAGCATAAATATTAATAAACTATAATAACCAAAATAGCTTAATCTATTCTAAATAGCCTAAACTATTTAAATATTAATAAACTATTATAACTTAATCTAATCTAATCTAATAAAAGGTAATTATACTGTATTTTAAGAAATGACTTGTTTACTTTTAAACATATTGTATTTAAGTTTATTTCTTATATTTATTTTTCTGTTATTATTTTTAAGAGATAAAGAAAAAATAATTTGGAATTGTTATTTTGATAACAATACACAAATAAAACTTTGCGAATAATGTAAAAATATATTGATTTAGTTAATATTTTCAAAACATTTGACAATAAAATGTCAGATTTTAGTATTAAAAGATAAAAATAACACAGTTATTGCGGTATCAACTAAAAACTGGAAAAAAAAACTTAAAACAGACTAATTAACATAAAAAGCAATTAAAAATGGAATTTCCTAGAAATAACATAATAGCTATGGTAAACCTACATTAAATAAATAAAATATAGGAAACACACTAATTAACATAAAAAGCAATTAAAAATGAAATTACCTGGAAAACTACATAAAAGCTTGGGAAAACCCTAGTTTCTGTTATTAAAAATCTAATATGTAGTAAAACGCATTAAATAACTAAAATCTACAGAAAAAGTATAATAAACATAGCAAAACCATTAAAATAAGTATAAAATAGCTAAAATCATAGATAAATGCTATTAAAATATACAGTAATCTAAATGATCTTAAAAACTGGAAAAGCTCTTAAATACAGACTAATTAGCATAAAAAAGCAATTAAAGAGGGAATTTCCCTAAAAATAACATAAAATGCAAGTAAGGCTTAGATAAACCTAGACTAAATAGATAAAGATCTAAAATACAGAAAACAGACTAATTAGCATAAAAAAGCAATTAAAGAGGGAATTTCCCTAAAAACAAGCTATCTAAAAACCATATATTCAAAATCCGGTTAAATCTATACACATGACAAAAGATTCACTATGTCTACATTAGTAAATATACGTTGAAAACATCATAAAATCTACTAAAAAAACGAATTTCCCTGAAATCAACATAAAAAGCAACTTAAAGTTGCGAAAACCCAAGTCTATATAGTTACTGATAAAGATCCAATATGTAGTTAAACACCTTAATTAGCTTAAGAAGTAAAGTAAAGAAAATCCTAAACTATGTAGATAAAGATCTTATATGTAGCAAATCGCATAAAATAAATAAAATCTACTGAAAAAGCTAACAAACATAGTAAAACCATTATAATAAGTTTAAATAGCCAAAATCCTAGATAAAAGCTATTAAAATATACAGTAATCTAAATGATCCTAAAAACTGGAAAAGCTCTTAAATACAGATTAATTAGCATAAAAAACAATTAAAGAGGGAATTTCCCTAAAAATAACATAAAATGCAAGTAAAGCTTAGATAAACCTTCACTAAATAGATAAAGATCTAAAATACAGAAAACAGACTAATTAGCATAAAAAAAGCAATTAAAGAGGGAGTTTCCCTGAAAATAACATAATAGCTATGGTAAGTCTACATTTTTAAAAGATTTAAGTCTGTTTTCAAATAAACTGTAATTAACATCTAGAGAATTCATTTTCAACTGCCAGAAATATTCAACTTTCATTGATTTTATACTATTTTATTAGGGAATAAAATTTAATTATTTAAATGCTAAACTATATTAAGCTATCTAAATCCATACAGTCAAAAACCGGTTAAAACTATAAACATATCAAAAGATTCACAAAGTTTACAATAGTAAATATACGTTGAAAAAAGCATAAAATCTACTAAAAAAAAATTTCTCTGAATTTAACATAAAAGCAACTAAAATTGGGAAAAACCAAGTCTATATAGTTACTGATAAAAATCTAATATGTAGTAAAACAGCTTAATTAGCTTAAGAAGTAAAGTTAAGAAAAGCTTAGACTATGTAGATAAAGAACTAATATGTAGCAAATTGCATAAAATAATTAAAATCTACATAATAATACTAATAAACATAGT